AAGTCAAGCAAAATAACATCTGGTTTAACATGCAAAGAATGTTTCACAGGATTGTTTTTCTGAAACCCTTCCTACGTGAGGCTTCGGCACCGTTCTACCACATTGTGAACCACCACCAGATTGTGAATGAGATACACCCCTGGGAGGAATCGGTACATAAATGTCTTAATTTGGATTGTAATTTGTGTGCTTTGCAACAGCGGTGCCACAGTTAAAACCCAGTTCTCATCAGCAGCTTGTCTTTATTATTAACATTACATATTTACATTGTTTATTTGGTGTAAAAGGACATAACATGATGGACAGTGTCTTTATAGTCATTTAACATAACCAACAGCCATCACCTTAAAAAACAAATCCGACTGACTGAATGATTATTATTGTTGTATATAATATATGTTATATTGATTTTTTTTTTTTTAAAAAGTGAGCTTTTTACAAGATTGAATTTCCCTTCTGGGATAAATAAAGTATTTTTCATTTCATTTTCCATTTCATTTCATTAACAAAATTGATTACATTGTACGTTTTTCATTGTTGATGTTCTGCGCATGCGCACAATGGGGCCGGGTTTGTTTAGCATCACCAAATGTTTTGTTTTCTGCGCCGATGAAATGGAGTTGACGAGCTAACACCGATAGCAGCGACGGTAACCGTTTCTCAGGTAAAAATCGGAGCAAGTCTCCGCATTCACAGTCCGTGTTTTCATTCTTTAGCCACCTACTTTGTAGCTTCCAGTTGCCCCGTAAGTTTAGCCGGCTGCATAACACACCGATGCTAGCTGCTACCTGACGTTAGCTCTAGTAAACCGTGTAACGTTACCTTTCGTTGTTACTCTGGTGCGACTGTTGGAAGCTTGCTTACATCTTGTACAGTCATTGTTGGCGAATGAAGCTTTAACTCCCCAAGAGCTGGTTGTGAAGCTTCTTCGGGTCAGGTTTTACGACAAGCTAACGCAGCGTTAGCTTTGCCCGGGTCACAACCTATGATTGCTAAAATGTCAACATGCCTCAGAGAGGAAGTCGTCTGTCTCATCGTTACGCTTTAAAGGATAACATTTACCTCTTAATATTACATCTATTTTATGCTTTATTGTCGTAAATATCACTAGAATATCGACTTGTGGTGTCAACTAGTTTTCTTAATATTTTCTTAGCATTTCAATATTATTTTACTGATACTGATACTGTTGTTATTCATAATGCGCATTAATGCCAGGTGAAGTATTTTAGTGTTTTTTATGATCAGAAATTAGGAGATTCGTGACATTTTTTTAACAGAACTAACAGAATTTGAGCCAACCTTCGTGTAAACTCTGAATACCTACACATTTTTTCTGTGAGACTATATACACCAGTGAAACACAGAAATAATGTAACAAATGTTACGCTAAGAAATCACTTAGGTGTAGGGATGATGGTCACATTGCCTCTGGCAGTGGTTCACATTTATGGCTGTGTCTTTTTATAACAGTATGAAGCTCATTTTGCCCTGAGAAGCATACAGTATAATAGGTAATCCATTACTGTAAATGCCAGATCTATTCTGCCAAGGTCGTGTTCCCGCTGCTTCCTTATAGAGATGAAGGTGCTGATTTACTTTGAAAGTATGCTTTAAAAACTGACTTGCTTTACTTATACTGTGCAGCGGTTACATATATAATCCAAGCAATGATTTATGTGTTTATTTCAAGTTAAAGATTTCTAGTCTCTACATGTGAGTATTTATGTCGGTGTCTATGTGTGTGTTTCAAAAACTTCAACAGTTTAATACTTTATAAATAGTCAGACAATAACGTACAACATATGTGATGTACTGTGTAGAAAATGTCGTAATCACACAAACACACTGGTCCATGACGGAGATATGGTTATAACTCTAAAACAAATGTTAGGATCATGTTGAAAGTAACATAACAGTTGAACTGTGACAATGCAGATGCAGGCTAGTTTATTCTGCTGCTGAAGTCTTTGTAAATCAATTTACATAGGAACTAGAGTATTTAAAAAAGGGACCTTTTTGCGATCCGATTTTAAAAAAGCAAGTTTAGTTTCCACTAGCAGCTATTAGTGATTAATATGGTTGGTTTATTTTTTTGTTTTTTTCAAAATATGTCATACCCGAGTTCCTGCTTGGCTTTACTCAACTGGCTCAACTTTCCTCACAGTGACATTGTACCAGCTTACAAGAAGACAAAGTCATGGGGAATACAAGCAGTGAAAGGGCTGCCATGGGCCAGGGGGAGAAGGCTCAGCGGAGGGACAGCCGGGGTACCAAGGAGGGAGAGAGGCCAAAAATCCTGATGGATAGCCCAGAGGATGCAGATATTTTTCACGGAGAAGATATGAAGGTAAGTCGTACTGCTGACTCAGAAGCATATGTCTTTTGGAAACACAGTCCTTCGGTGCCCATAGATTTCATAGCACTCCACTCTTAGCATAATGTGTATGACGAACATTTCACCATGGTTCTGATGGATATTTCAGGCCCCTTTAGAGAAAGAGGAGTATCTTGCATGGCAGCAGGACTTAGAAGCAGAAGATAAAGGGCCAACTTTAGACCGACCAACAGTCTTTCGCTGGACTGGAGATGGAAAGGAGGTGTACCTGTCTGGATCCTTCAACAACTGGGCCAACAAGATTCCCCTTATTAGAAGGTGAGTACAAGTTCTGAACTGCAGAGGATTCTATGTTTTGCAGATGTTCCTTGAATGCATGGCTGTTATATTTTAGTGACAGTCTCTTGTAATTTTTTTCATTGGTAAATGTTTATCATTTATGTCTGATGAAGGAAAGACACGCACATCCCCGAGGCCCACTGGGTTGGGTGCTGGATCACAAAATGTCAAAAATGAGAAAAGAAAAGAAGAACTATCCGCACAAGGGAGCCTGTTTGGTGTACGGATCATTCTTCTTTTCTTTTCTCAAATGTTTATCATTTAACCTTTAGAGTCATTAAAACAGCTTGTTGTTACACAATTCTCAAACTGGTATACACAAATTCCCTGTATCTCCCAAGTATCTTAACCTTCATTATTAAGCTCACTGATTAGAACGCAGATAAATTATATTGATTGACGAGGTTAAAGAAGCACTGATTTAACTCACCTGTGTCTTCTCTTGTCATCTGTCAAAGTCAGAACACCTTTGTGGCAATCGTTGACCTACCTGAAGGGGAGCATCAATACAAGTTTTATGTCGACGGCCAGTGGACACATGACCCAGCTGAGGTTAGCAAATATTCTTACAGTAGAATGTGACCTTTTTTGAGTTTTTATTTCTGGCAGCAAGCATTAATCTGAGGGACAGACCATATCGATGACCATGCAAATAACAGACATCCTGTTTCTCTGGAAAAATACAGCAATAGATATGTGATATGATTCATTTTGTGCATTGTGAATGTGACACAATGTGCAAGGGAGAACATGTTTAGAGACAGGGTGCTCTTGGTCTTCATTATTTTAGGATGCTTTAGTAGTTTATTAATGTTATTTTGTCACAGAAATTATGTTGTCTCTGGTAAGTGTGTACAATTGAGCTTTATTTGTGAATTTGATTGTGCCATGTCTCCTGACAGCCTGTCATAACCAGCCAGCTAGGCACCGTCAACAACATCATCCAGGTGAAGAAAACTGACTTTGAGGTGTTTGATGCACTAATGGTGGACTCGCAGAAATGCTCTGACATGTCAGGTGAGCACTGAAAACTCATTTTTATTTCTGCTTTGTTAGATTGACAGGGGCAGAAAACAAAATTTGAAAGCAGGGAATCAAAAGGCCAAGATTTCTATGTAGGTCTGTGGAAATGTTTGAAAACTACACTCTGTCTTAGTCATACTATTGCACCCTTCCTTTATCAGACCTCTCCAGCTCTCCTCCTGGGCCGTATCATCAGGACGCTTACATACCTAAACAGGAAGAGAAGTTTAAGTCTCCACCCATACTCCCACCTCACCTCCTGCAGGTCATCCTCAACAAGGACACTGGGATTTCTGTAAGTAGCTGTGTTGCAGTTCAATTCCACTTATTGTAGTCACTGCTATTCCCATTGTGGTTTTGCTTTATACATTCAATTAAAATATCAAACGGCACAGTCAGTAATTGATAAAATATATCTACATGTATAAAATGACATAAATGATTCATCTGAAGCTTAATAATATCCTGTATAAGATATTTAAAGAAAAACAAAATATGCAAATGGGTAAAAAATGATTCATTTTTCCATTTTGCTGGTTCTCTTTTCTTTTCATGTCCAGTGTGACCCTGCATTACTCCCAGAACCCAACCACGTCATGCTCAACCACCTCTACGCTCTTTCCATTAAGGTGAGGCTTCAAGTTGAGTCAATGACACAGAATACAGTTTGATATTTTTCAGCATGTGGCTGCTGACATGTGGGAAAAACTGTGTGTGGTGACACTTGAGAAATGACCAGCTTTGTTAGCATTTTTTATAGAAAGTGCGAACTGCCGCCGCAGTTAGCGAGCTTGCACGAAGCGTTCGCAGCAGATTGTATCTGCGGAATGCCAGCAATGATAACAAGCTGCTAATGGGACAGAAGGACAAGCTGAAGGACAGATAATTGCCCTTCTTTCAACATTGTGACAGGAAAAGCGAACTAAACGTGGGTGCCAAGATATAAATACAGACCGCAGTGTCAGGCTAAATGGGGAAAACTGGGTGGGGGGGGGGAATAGAACACACAAGCAGAGTTACACTTGTAGCCTGCTTGTGGAGTCCTATCTAAGCCAAACAGTATTTTCCATTTCAGTTGGCAGCTGGTCAGATAGTCAGTTATTGACTTTTTTTTTCCATTTGGTTTCACCTGCAGTGATAATTTTGTTTTTTTATGTGTCATTCTCTTGAAAGAAAGGTAGTTTGTAGTTTTCCACTACTGATAAAACTGTTGCACAGGGAGCAGGTAAAATAAAAATAAAATAAACAAAAGCATTCTTACATGTTCAAGTTAACCACCAACAAAGCAGTTCTTTGAAAATAAAGCTCAATTGTTGGTTATGGGAAATCCAGGAAAATTTCAGGAAGCATTGTGTTCCATTGTATTTTCCTTGGAGACCTGAGCGATGCTGTGTGCAAAGTAATCAGAGCCCACAATGAGGGAGTTTTTTCCACACAAACAGGAGTATCATGTGGATCATTTTCTTTAACAACTTGTCAACCTCTAATAATGAGGGTACACCTTCAGTAGCTGCTTCACAATAAAAGCCATTCATGGTATCGCTGCCTTTTTTTTTTCTCCCAAGTTTGCCTTAAAACCAAATCTCACGTGCCCACATGTGCTCTGAATACACTGGTGTACACATGGTGAGACTGATACCGCTGTTCCCATGAAGCTCACATGTATCTTAACTGTAAGCATGTTTTTTAACGTTCATGTTTCCTGCATGTTATCTGTTTCTGTCACAGGATGGAGTGATGGTGCTCAGTGCGACGCACCGCTACAAGAAGAAGTATGTTACCACCTTACTATACAAGCCCATCTGATCGTCCGTCTTTTCAATTCTATCCCAGTGTGTTAAGTGTACACTGAGTGTACAAAATATTAGCTCCACGTGTTTTTTTGGGTTTTTTTTGCATAAAATAGAGAGACCAGATGAGGTCCGATCTCATATCGCTTACAGTTCTAATCTGTTAAATCCATCCTAACTTCAAGAAGCAGCTCTAAACAAGGTGTAGGAATAATTTAGTTTGTAGAATTTGAACTTAATTGCAAGTAAAATACAGGACCGGTGTTTACTAAATGCTTCACATAAATACAGTGTAAGCAAAATATAAAATAGAACCGGATCAAATGAGAAACAGTAGGAAAACCTCAACAGATGTTTCCTTTTAAAGGAAGCCTGTATAAATCATTTAAATGATGACATTCCTTTAACCATCCTGAACTTTGAACACACAGAGCCTGGAAAGTTCAAGTATGGAGGCTTGTATTGTTTCCCCCAAACTTTCAAAAGATTGACAGCCACCTGCATGACAATTATCGAAAATTACCTAATGTTTATAAGAGGTTAAACGCTCTGAGACTATATCTTGTACACTCTTTGTATATCCAGTAATTGCACATTTAGGATGGTTAATATCACAGCCACTCCGATCTGACATAATCTGCCTTTATTTGTTCACTGACTTCCCTCTGTAGTTTCCAGCAACAGTACCTTTGCTTAGTAGAACACAAAGACGATAACTATGGGGTAGAGCACTGACATGTCTGTTATCAAAACAGACAGAAGTATAAGGAAATGGCTGGTAATGCTGAGGGGGGGAGACCTCAGATGAATTAAAGTAGCTGTCGTCTTTCCCATGGTTCGGAAGGCAGCAGCAGTTCAATCAAAACTGTGAATGTTTGAAGTCGAAGAAGGAAACAATGCACTGCAGTAGCTATGTCTTTATTTTGCTGTTAATGTTGAAACTGATGAAATTTATTTGGTGATGATCACACAGCGCACAGTAGATATCTTCTATGAAGTATTTAGTAATATATATAAATATATATCTTTTTCTACATTTGGTTGATGATGTGGTTTGTTTTGTTGTCACATATTGTCTTTCTGTAGTTAGTTGCAGTGTTGTGGCCAAAAACATTCCAGTCAAGACGAGAGCAAAATGCGTCTTAGGTAGTTTCTTGTCTTTAATTTAGGGTATGTGCACTTGCAGTACGACAATGAATCAGAAGAATAATGATTACCTTTTCCAAAATTTAGGCAAATTTAAATGTAACATTGCACAAGTAACTTTTGTTTTTTCTTTAATACCAGCCTGGGAACCACATAATTCAGAAAACATCTGTTTTATTGGCTTTGGCAGATGTGTTTGGCCTACCCACATGTTCAAACAAATTTCCACCTGGCATTGCCCACGCCAGTTCAATCATATCGATTTATCTAATATGGGGCAGCTTTGATACAATCACTGTATAGAAGAGTGCTGTTAACGCAGCCACTCGTGTGAAATATTTGAATCTGCTATCGTGTCAGTTCTCAAAGAACTGGACGGTATATTTTTCTCTAAAAGAAGAGCAAACAGCTGCACTTAAAGCCTCGTTACATTTCGGTCAGCACTATGTCAAACATTTCATTGCTCTGATTGGTTCTTAATCTATCAAATTGTGTCCAGAGACATTTTAGTCTGCGTCTGTTGATAACACTCTACGGAAAACAAAAAAAAAAGTGTGTCTGTTAATGCCAAGTTACTTTTATAAAGACTAATCCATTAAATTAAGAGTCACTTCAGTGGGCTGTACAAAATTGCAAGATTAGAGTTTTCAGTGTCATGAAGGTCTTTTAACCTGCTAGATCACTATGCTAAGAGATGATTCTCTGTGAGCAAATAAACCCACTTGACTGAAGCAGATGGCACATAGGTTCAGTTCAAGTTAAGCGCTACAGAGTATGAAGCAGAAAGCCTGGATTAATAAAGACAGCTCATACCCACTGTTGTGATACCTGTTATCTGTGATTTAGGTTTTCTCAAGCCAGCCTGAACAAAGAAAGCCTGGCTATGTTGAAATTGCTTCCCAGTACAACCCTCTGATAGTTGATCCCTGCTGTCTTCGTTGAAATGGCACAACTTGTTCGTACCATTGAACGTTGCAAATTTCCATCAGGTGATGTTCGCATCATGTTGATTTAAACAGAAAGGACATACTTGAGGAAGACAAAACCGCAAATGAAAAGAGTCAAACAACACTGATGGGGGGACCAGCATGGGGTTGTGGGATCGACACGCACTGTTTCCAAGGATTATTATTATTTTTTTGTCATAGTGAATTTATCTGTACTGTTTATGGTCTGTGTAGATTTCATGACGTTTGAAGGACTGGAATTTGTTTTACGTTAAATGTAATAACTCGAACCAACATCGACGTATCCTTGCCAAATTATGGTATCTGTGGTGGGTGTGATTGCCACAAATGAATGAAACCATGATGTTCATTATTTTAGTTTTACAGAATGCTGTAGGCCAGTAGAGGCTGAGTCCTCATTTGTGTTGATTTTGCATTTGTCTCACAGCTAACATGGTAATTATTTATTGATGTTAAGATGCTAGACATTCAAATATATTGCATTAAAAATGTTTTTGACCTACAATTTCCATTCTGAGACAGATTTGTATTAAAAGTTAATTTGCAAATTAATATGCCGCTTGCTTTATTTATGATCACATCATAACTGACAGACCTTTGTGTTCATTAACAGTCATGACAAAATCTATGCTTCACTGTCACCTTAAGGACTGCTGTAAGAATTTTGACATCAATTTAGTCTGTTTTGGTTATTTTTCCACATGTTGCAGCTTTTTTAAATGTAAAATTCCACTACTGAATCTGATCCTGCATGGACAATGAATTTTAAAGCAGCTTTTTCTCAATGAATTAGTGAATGTGTTCATGTTTTATACCCATCTTTAACATCTTTTACATATAAGGGTTAGATTTTTTTTTTACCCATCATATTATTGTATTTACTAAGTCATACATGCCAAAATAAAAACAACATGCTGGAAAAAAAAATTAAAAAAATCAACAACATTCTCTTCCAATGATTTTGTTCAGTTGCCTTTAAAGTGCTCTAAATGCTGAGTGTTGACCATGAAGTCTGGGATGGTCCAGGTCATGATGCAGGTTAAATATGTTGCTTTTTTTTTTTTTGGAATTAAGATTATAACAGTTACGAAAAAATAGCATCTGCAGAAATGTGCTTAAATGTTATTATTCATTATTAAGGACTGTTTTTTATACAGCATACCAAATAATTAACTGAACAGCGAATGCTAATTTACATAGTCTTTACCAATGTCTTTACAGCGGTTACAAAATAATGCAACTTTCATGAGGTTATTGGTCATTTCCTCCTGTGTTCACAACAGTATGACTGTTTTACACATTCATAGATTTACAGTTATGCACAGTAACACCCAGAGCTTACAAATGTCTGACCACGGCTGCTCGACCTCATTCTGACCCTTGACTTCCCTTTCAGGTCATGGCCCCTGCAAGAGCTTGCTAATGCTAATGGGACTTGGAATGTTTCTTTACATTTATATTCATGGTTGGAGCCCACATGGATCGAAAATCCCTCTGAGAACGCAAACCTCAACCAAGGCTGCTCAGTCCTCAACATAAGTTGTTTTTAATCAGTAAAAATATATCAGAAAACATTTATTCTGCACTCTGATTCAGGTCAGCCTCAAAATGAGCACTGTGATAGACTCATCAACAGGGTACCAGAAATATAACTATGTATTTGCTGAACATCTCATTAAAAAAAAACATTGTCAGACTGTTATATTAGCTTCCACTCTTCTTGGAAGACATTCCATCATATTTTCTTCAAACTCAGATATACTTTTGGCCAAATAGTTCTTTAAAGACCCCTTCTAATTAAGCTTTATTGCTAACATGTCCCTGTTGTTTTTAAAGCCCCATGGGTAAGGATTTTTTGCAACTTGCCCTTGTGTAGGATGGACTAGCTTTACAGCGTGAAAGCAGTTGAAGTTGAGCAGCTGTGCTCAAGCTGAGAGCTGAGTGGAGATAGAACACGGGGACTGATTTGCATATTCATAGATCCATTTATTGTAAAGGCGGCAAAGGTGTAGAGTTACATCTTTGCCATTTTAGGGCATAAATGGATCATTGTCACTGAGAACAAAGCAGCCTCTTTAGGAGTCATCGACCTCACATGAACTCAGTGAACATCATTTTTAATGCCTCTTTCCCTTCACTTGCTCTTGTTTTCATTAGTGTATAATCGCTTGATGATGAGAATCTTTGTGTTTGCCTTGCCTTAGAGGGAGTCAACAGAGGGGGCAGATCCTTTTCCACAGAGTCCACCGTGTTGCACAGCCATGTTTCTACTGAATAGACAAATCAAACACTGGCTCCAGAGACGGCCATTTTTACCAGCCAACATGTTTGGTTCTCCAACACGCTTGGAAGGGGAGTTAGACATGAGGGGTATTCAGTTGGGTGCAATCTGAAACTCCACCGTGAGATGCTACAAAATTCTATACACTGAATGTTTAAAACATCACCAAATCTGCCTTTTATTGAAACATTATCACATCTTCCTTTGTCGATGTGCTGACTTTCCCCAAACTAAATTTGTCTGCAGTCATGATTTGGCATTCTAATAGCAACTGTGAAAAGGAGAATGAAAGGAAGCATTTGCTAGGCTGATATAAATTTGGTTGTATTTATTATACTTGTTTTAAGCATTTCTCTTTAGTGACAGTATCGAAACAGCAAAACAAAAATACCCCATTACAAGAAAAAAATCCTGCATGAAAAAAGTATTAGCAGCCAAATATTGCTAAACCGTTTACTGGTTTGGTGGCTCTGACTGGTATATGACTGTGTATGACCTGGCTGTAGATGCATCAGTGTGTCAGCAGCACGTTGCTGTTGGAGCTGCTGTAGATGAGTTTGAACTACTTTATATGCAGTTTTATAAACAGGGACAGCAGATAAATAAAATGAAAATCACATTGTTATTGTGAGAGGAAAGAAGAAGCTTTAAAAATGACCTGTTGTATCATTTACTGAACCTAAGAGAGAGGATCTATGTGCTTTCTGTCAAAATTTGATGGATCTATTGTTGTCTGTGTGCATAAATTAGCATAAATAGCCCGTTTTAAAACATTGTTTTAAAGCACGAATAACAGTGAGACTGACAACAATGTTTTGCATGGATGAAGTTTCCTCTGCGGTATGTCCTGTGTGTTCCCACATACATTTTTTTTTTTGGTGTGTGATTTTTTGCATACCATTGTTGTCAGTCTCGCTGTCATTCGTGCTTTAAAACAATGTTTTGCATGGATGAAGCTTGCTCTGCGGTAGATACAAGTTTCCCAGAAACATTATTCACGTTTTCCTCATTTATTTTTTTTCTTTTAGTCTAGGATTAGGCATAATCTTATGTCTGCTACTTTTTTTTTTAAGGAATCAGAAGCCAAAAAGCTTGGAAACTATGGACTCTTTATGGTCTTTAGCAATGTGTTGCATTCTAAAGACTGTCAATTAAATAAAGCTGTCATAACTATAGTGGAGCAGAAAGTACAATATGTCCCTCTAGAATATAGTGGAGTGGGAGTATAAAGTAGCATAAAATGGAAATACTCCAGTACACTACAGGTACCTCAGAGTTTTAGCTAAATGCAGTACTTGTACTTGCAGTAAATTTACTTAGTTACTTTCCACCACTGACTGATTGAGGAACTCTCATCGAGACAGAATATATTAGCAAAACAGTGTTCAGATAGTTCAGAGTGTGTGAAAACAGTGGTCTGCTACCACATATGCTGGTTTGTGTTTGAATATTGAGTCCATGTGACCGTGTGCCGTATGAACAGCTGACAGGCGAGGTTCCACACCTGGTACATAAAAGCAGCCTGGTGTAAGAGTGAGAGACAGTGTGCGACTGATCTCCTGGCTGTTAGGATGAACGTCCTCCAAACCGTGCTCCTTGTGGCTGTAAGCCTCTCGGCTGGTGAGTACACGACCTCAACAAATATTGCACGGTTCTGAACAAGACGCGACACAAACCATGATTGCGCCCTGTTATTGTGCTTCAGTTCACTCCCTGGACTACAAGGCACTGAACCAGTTCAGAAACATGATCCTGTGCGTGATGCCTGATAGCTGGCCTATTCTGGACTACGCCGACTACGGCTGCTACTGTGGAAAGGGAGGCTCCGGCACGCCTGTGGATGATCTGGATAGGTCACGAATCAGCCTCTCTGCTTCACACTTGGATGACGTTTTAACAGCCTATTCAGTCTGTTTCAAAACTTGTCGTGTTTGACTTTCTGACCCGCAGGTGCTGCCAAGTGCATGACCAGTGTTACTCTGATGCTATGCAGCACGATGAGTGCTGGCCCATCCTTGACAACCCCTACACTGAGTTCTATGACTACAGCTGCGATGAGGCAAACAGGAAGGTCACCTGTGGCAGTGAGTGGACTAAAAAAAAATATTCTCAATTTTTAAAATGTATTTATTTATTTTAATTCCACAGTGGAAAATTTTGCATTGTTACAGAAGCAAAAGAAAAATCTGTGGGAAAATATAATATTTTTACCAAAAATATACACAAGTACTAGTTCACATTCTCCAAATTCCTCTGGATAGAAAAGAAAACAAAAAAACAATGCATATATCAATGGTACTGCACTGATTCTTTCATGAGTTTAATATTGCACAAGTTTGTACGTAACTAGAAAAATAATGATATTGCACAGACTCTACAATATGTATAAAAACCAATGTACAAAATATTCAGGATTCACATCTATGAAGGTGTTGACATTGCAGCAAAAAGAACTCTGACAGCAGCAGAAAGGAAAGACTTTGTCGTAGTGCTTGCTGACCTTCCGCTAATCACAGAGCGAAGTCAGAGTTCTCTGCTTTCTCTTCCTCAGACGACAACAACGAATGCGAGATGTTCATCTGCGAGTGCGACAGGAAGGCCGCAGAGTGTTTCGGCAGATCACCTTGGATCCCCGAAAACGAGCACCTGCCCAGCGACAAATGTCAGTAAAGATCCAATCACTTGTATGAGATGAAGATTTTATGACTCAACACGTCACATCCGGCCTTTCATTTTCAAAAAGTTGCACATTTACACAATCTTATATGCAACTACGGGCCAATAAACGCCTATAACCATCCATCATTCCCTCCATGTGTTGAATTCGTCTTTTGTAATTGTGTCCTGTCCTAAATTTTATCCTCATTGACAAGTATTTATTCGAGGATAAAATCTTAAAACATGTTATCAATAGAGGGCGTTATCCTCTACCTTTTACTTTTCTAGATTTTGCCAGCTCCATTTTGTAATATTTATGCCTAATAACTAATAAAATGGAAATACTTACAAAAAAGATGAAAAATTGTTCATTTTTGCTAAATTGAATGTCTCATTTTGCAGTTGTTGCGATCAATAAATCACTTCACATATATGCCTCCTCCTGAATGTGGATCACAAGTACGACCCTGTCAGATGCTTACAGTTGTGTTATTTTTCTTTACTACCATGTATTTGTACACTTATGCAAGTTGACATATCTTTTTCTCTAAAAATATAATTCACACTTGGATAAGTTATATACTCTTAATTTGTTTGCTATTTATTTATTAGTCTATAAATAGATAAAAACAACATCCATCCATGATCTATACACCGCTTAATCCTCACTAGGGTCGCGGGGAGGGCTGACTTTGGGGTGAAGGCAGGGGACACCCTGGACAGGTCGCCAGTCTATCACAGGGCTACACTTAGAGACAGACAACCAAGCACACTCACATTCACACCTACGGACAATTTAGAATCACCAATTAACCTCAACATGTTTTTGGACCTTGTGGGAGGAAGCCAGAGAACCCGAAGAGAACCCACACTGCGAACATGCAAACTCCACGCCCCCACCGGGATACGAACCGGCGACCTTCTTGCTGCGAGGCAACAGCACTACCAACTGCACCACCTTGCAGCCCTATAAACAACATATTAATTAGAATTTGGCATTATTCCCACCGCCTGACACAATCTTTTGTGTTTTTTGCTTAACAAATGTACAAAAATGTAGGTTTACAGGAAACAAGCCAAAGATGCAGTAGCCACATACCAGCAATGTTCAATTTATGACCCGAGGGCCAAATCAGGCCCATGATAGGGTGCTGACTGGCCCATTCACCTTTTTGTAAAAAATCAGATTCACAAAAGAACTTTATTATTTTTACTTAATTTTATTTTATTTTTTTTTATTGAAAATGTAAATGTTCAATAATGCCCATTGGCAGCACTCAGTTCAATTAAAAGTACATAATTTGAAAGAAAGAACAGCTATATGGGCTTTTTAAATTCTATCTGATGAATATTAACTAGCCCCTGACCTCCTGTCATTTTGCAGGCCTCTGGGCAAAGCAAGTTGAGAATCCATTCAATTCTACCAACAACTACCCTTAGTCGCTGTAATGCAATTGCAATATTAGCTCCCCACAATAATAAGCAGCATTTCTGGCAACACTCATCAGTGCATTAAACTGTGTGATCTGACCTTTTTTAAATCACAAGTACAGACAAATGCAATGGAGTAAGGCAAATAACTCACAAACTACAGTTATTTGTCATCATATTTTATATCCAAGGTGTTGAGTTGTTGAGTTTTGATAAAGATTTGGTCATTTTTAAAGCCAAACCTATCCATAAATATAGGTATTTTAGTTGTTTCTGTTGGCTTTTTAGGCTATTTAGCACCATAAAAAAATGAATCTAGTCATTACAGCCTACTGTCTTGCTGTCAGCAGGCCACCTCTGTTAGCTCCCCACAGCTCCCTCTTTGTGATCACAGCTGTGGCTGCAGCCCACTGGATCAGTCTTCAGACTATTGTTCAGACAACACAAGCATCAGTGCTGTGAGCACCGGCAGCCAGTGGCTGGCCACCATCCAGATGTGCCTGCTGCTAGTGAAAAGATAAAATGGGTAAAATGACAAATGCAATGGACAAAAACACATATTGTCCAGTAAAAAGCCTTTCTCTAACCTAATACCCTGTGTATATGCTTTCACGTCTGAGCAACAATGTGTCATTTCACATCGTCATGGTTGCTAAAAGTGGCTCTGCTGCTGATGTTTGTACCACACACTGGCCAGGAGACCGAAACTGTGTCAACACTGAAGAAACCTTAATGACAAAGCTCTTTGCACAGGAAGATGACACTATGAATACCGATACCATCTCTCCTCCTAAGCTTCTTTGGAAATACCTTATTTGCATGGGTACATTTGTTTAAGATGGCTTTATCAAAAGCCTCATACTATTAAAGCATAGACTTTGCTTTTCTAAGAAAGGAAAAAATAGCCAAAAGCATGTCTCAAAGTGAAACTGTAGCTGCTTTATTTGAGCTGCAATCAGACTACAGTGTGCACTCAGTGCCATTCACATATTTAGAACAGATCAAAATGACACAGCAACATTAAGCTGCAATTTAAATGTTAAATTACCAAAACTTGGTATTAAATAATAGTACCACTAATAGCCGCTCTCGGCTCTGCGCATGAGCAGTAGTAAATGAGGCCGGAAACGTTGTGAACTGCTGCGGGATGGAGAAGGGTCTGACTGCAGCCGGAGCTAAGGCACAGCCCCTACAAACCACGCCCCTACAAACCACGCCCACATGACCCTACCTGGCTGTGGGGTTCCACAGCATGTCAAATGTAAACAGAAGGGAAATAAAGCAGTAATGCAATAACGGGAGCAATTTTACCAACTTTAACGGTTGATTCACACCATTCAATTCCTTCCAATGCAAACAATGTGCTTGATACAATAAATTGACTTAAAAAAAAAAACAAAAAACACAAAACCAAACAAACAAACAAAAAACAGAAAGCAATGTAAATAAATAGGACTGCAAATGAAAATTAGCTTTCTGCTAAATCTGGTGCATGCAGCCTTTTTTTTTTTGGACTAATGTACACAAGTTTATTTAGAACTAAAATTAATATATATTATTACTACTACTACTACTAATAATAATAATTAGTACCAGTTATTTCAATTAAAATAGGTTGTTTACACCTAGAGCCACAGTGTCACAGCTTGGCCTACTACATCACATGCCATAAATATCACTCAGAGGTGATGATTTCTTATGGGTTAACACAAAAGATCGCTGGCCCTTTGACACAAATAAAATGTATTTATTTAGAATTAAGTAGGCTACAATATTTTTGAATTAAGTATACAATTCACAAGACTAGTAAAATAAATGACCACACACCCATCTTCAAAATGTGTACCTTAAAACGCAAAAGTTTAAAAGTTTTATTTTAGAAAAAAATCAGACATGAAACAGCCAGCAACAGCTTTCATTGTTTTGTTGTCAATAAAGTAGTACACAAGTCCTCGGACTTCAGAGCTCTGTTTGTCACTGATGAGACAAAATGGAAGAAAATAGCAAGTATAGAGCAAGTCAAAAGATTAACAGTGACAATAATAGAACGGTTAAGTTTCCCCACATAGAATAGCCTACTGACCATAAATCTATAACATAATTGACAAAGAATCAGATCAATAAGGGGAATCGATAATGGCATTGATATTAACAAAATTTTTATCAATATCTGTGGTTGAACTTACCTCCATATTTAACAACAGATTTCTGGTGGCCTTGTAAATGGGAAATTAGGGCACTGAAAAGTGTCCACTCCCACTTTACAGAGCTCTGGGCATGTGCCCTCCCTAAATGTTGTGATGTTGGTCAATAGGAGAATAAAATACTATTTTAAAAAAATCATAGGCCTAGTTCCTCACTTTATACATCTTCTTCTGGAAAGAAATAAAAGGAACTGTAAACTACACTTCAATCAAACTTAATCAACACACATATCACCGAAACTATTCTTTGAATATATTTTTGCTAAAGGAAAAAAAAAAAAAGAAAAAAAAAGCTTGATATGTTGAGTTAAATGAAAATACAAATATTCTGAGTATATGTGCCGCGTTCCCCCACTGCTTCTGTTATCATCCCTTGCTCACTCATTACTCTGATTTTCATATATAGTCTAACACATGTAAAAGCCGACACACTGACATTTTTAAGGTATTGAGTTTAAAGAAATAGTTCATTTGAAAAAAAGTAATTAATGCTCTTTCTGCAGAGCAAAATGTCTAAAACGTTAACGTTAAATTAAATGTCAATATCTTCCCAAAATGTAAACGACCTACGTGCTGCTGTCAACTGCAGTCGGTTGGGAATGTACAGTTAAAATGACATTAAGTGTTAATTTATTAAATGTTAATACACCTGAACCGGCATTGACATCTTCTTCTTCTTCTTCCTGGTTTATTGGCGCGCATTGCCGCCTTCTTCTTCTTCTTCTTCTAATGCTTTGGCGCGCATTGCCTTCTTCTTCTTCTACTGCTTCTCTACCTGCGCACCACCATACTAACAGCAGGCGGGGGCATGGTGTGTAAGGGGCCGGGGGGCGTGGTGTGTAGGGGGCGTGGTGTGTAGGGGGCGTGGTTTGCTGCGGCTTCGGGGGACAGCACCGGCTGCAGTCAGGTATTATTGCCTGAATGGGCATTGACATCTTCTTCTTCTTCTTCCTGGTTTATTGGCGCGCATTGCCTTCTTCTTCTTTTTCTACTGCTTCTCTACCTGCGTGCCACCATACCAACAGCAGGCGGGGGTATGGTGTGTAAGGGGCCGGGGGGCGTGTTGTGTATGGGGCGTGTTGTGTAGGGGGCGTGGTTTGCTGCGGCTTCGGGGACTTGCATTTGAAATTTGTTCCCATGCTTTTCTCTTATCTAACACGGCCTGCATGCAGTTCAGCCGAAATATTTTATGTCATGTGACTGTTGTTCTTGGTTGCACCTAGAAGCACAGATTCTATTGTCTTTATAGAATCTAGCGCAAAATGTTTTTTTTTTTTTTTAATTTTTAAATTGTTTTTAACACCATGGTCTCTGTGTGTTTTTTTTTTTTTCAGAAATACAACAATACAATGCTTCCAATGTTGTTTCCAGTGCTGTTTCTTACATTCAATTAGGCTTTTCTTGCTTTCCTGTGGTTATAAGACAGCATTTGTGGCCAAAAAAAATCTGGTTGTAAGTCATGTTTTTCTTTTTTCTTTTTCTTTTTTTTTTTTTAAAAAAGGTTGAACATTATTATCCAGACCTCAGACACTTATTCACATTTCAAGGTCTTTATTTTTATTCCTGGGCATCTAATGCCATACATTTGCATGATGTATTCTGTTACTCAAAGCCTATTTTATAAATGTAACACAAATTTTGTGTACTAGTGCAAAGCTTATCTCCTGCTTTAGCTTCATAGTTGTATTTGTTTATTGAGTGGCTGCTTATGGGACTAAACCATTATGTAATACTGTATGTGATGTTTCGGCCTCTCCTGACCTTACTGAGCATTACGGATAAGTAAAACTCGACTAACATGAGGATCAAAGACCCTTTAAATCTGAAATGATATATGACTACATGTGAACTGTCCATACCAACCAAAAGAGAAGTATTGGTGACAGTTTTTCCTAAACTTAATTTCCAAGTTTAAGACTAAAGTGCCTACGTGACAAAAGCATGATTTAATATCAAGTCAATGTGCCTCAGATATTCCCACATGACAAACTGGAAGTCATAAATTTTTATCGTCTGACAGTGTATCTTGAGTTTGTGGTTTTCTTTCATTAATCTTTCGGTGGATGTTAGGTTACACCTGACACCCAGCCAACACCGTTTGGTCCAATAAATAAATGAATGCTTTGGGCTACGAGGTGTGAAAACCAGCTACATGTGCGAACCGCTCACATGCAACCTCCCAGCTGATATCACTCAGCTGCAGCAATTCCCAAAGGTGTCAGTTGCGGGACGACAGTCGCCTGAGAGAAAAACACAGGGAAGGACAAAGAGACGAGTCTAAAAGAGAGGTGACTAAGAAGGAATGGAACAAGAGAGGCAGAGCGGGAGACGTTCTCACTGTGAATGATACCTTATCTCGTGATGACTCCACCCTTGCATGTAAAAACAAGGCCCGTACATTATCCAAAGGACATGCCGGCCCTGATGCTGCCATGGTAACTTGCTATTTGTATCACCAGTCATGCGCAATACAAGAAGCAACAATTCCCAGCATGTTAGTCAACTTCTTTACAGTAGGTAAATCGGGCGTCTGGAACAGACTGTACCATTCAAACCGAGCGTTCCACCTTGCCCAGAGGATCTTTCAGTTTGTTGACATATTCTGTCTGGTATGCGTGACGTACAGGATGAAAACACACACCTGGAACCCGAGCCAAGAGCAACAATGTCGGTGTGAGTGCACATCATAAGCAATACTTCATTCACCATGCTTGAAAGAAATGGGTTAGTAGCTGCAAGTATGAAAGGTTGTTAAAGTAATTGCTTTGTGTACTGGTACATTTCTCCTGAGCTAATGCAGGTCTCATGTTTTTACTTTTCCCCAAGGGCATCCTAATCAGGGCTTATATGCGCTAGTACAATGTGTATGTACAGTGTGCACTATTACAGAGTTAACCATAAGCTGCTTCTCTGTGTTGGATGATTAGGATTTAAATTCTGCAGAGGGGGAAAAAAGAGAAAAGGAATGCTTTAGTTTTCTTTTCAACAGATTTAATCAGAATATTATTGCAGAATATAATATTCACATTTCAGCAGGGTAGTTGAGCTCATGAATGTGAGCCATGTTAAAGAGTGGGTTTCAGGCCATCCAGCACTGGAGATTTTACATAGTTTATGCGCATTTTAAAGCAAAAAGTGTCTTAAAAATACTTGATAAATAAAATATTCACATCAGATAATTACACACAGGTCTGCTGAGAAAGCATATGCTTATCTCACAGGTCTATTTAACTGAACACAGGGTTTTCCAGTCTGCTCTGACTCTGTTTGACAAAGTCCTCTGAAGATGCTGTACATCGGAGTTCTGCAGACCAGTAGACACGTGTGAAGGCCATGATGGCGGGCGGTGCGCTGTGAGTGAGGGGTAAAAACGGCTAAGGTTGCTTTGGTTAGCATTTGCTTCATCTTTTTCCATGAACACTCTGTAATTCTGCCCCCTGTTGTCGTCCCAGTGTGCCAAGGAGCCAGCATGACCGGGCCTGAATGACACACAAAACTCCATTCGTTCCTGTGGATCAATGTTCTGGGGTAAGCTTAAATCAAAGCTGAAAACATCCACGTTAGAACCCCCACAGCGCTGCTGCTGCAAGAACGTGCAGGGAATGTCATGATGGCTCCGCCAAGAGTCAAAGGTCACCCTCACATGCACAGCCCTCTCAGTGCTGACATGGAAAGCCCACACTTTGCCACTTAAGGAGTGCTCTGAAATTTTGCAGCTTTCCAGCTGCACATTTGTTTCTCGCAAGCGTCCAAGGAAGGCTTTAAAGTCCAGTGTTGGCTGAGGGAAACCCAGCCGCAACTTGGGGCGCTGCATTTTGTTGGCGACTGACTGTTGGCCTTCCAGTTTGGCTGGTGGGGGTCTAATCAGCAGGGTAGAAGTAGGGGAAGAGGGCTCAGGAATGAACAGACGCACAGCAGTGAGTGCTAGTCCTTTGGCGTCTGCAAACACTACACGCTTCTTGCTCGCACTGCCGCCACTGTCCCTGCGGAAACAGCTCCGCCGCTCCAAAGACATGTAAGAGGAGGACAGCGATGACGATGAAAATGAGGAGGATGAGGATGGGTGATGTGAGGAGGGAAGGCCGGCCTTCGGCAGACTGTCACTTGGCTGAGTGCGATGCTGTGTGGGTTTCAGAGGAGACATGGACAGCAGTTGATAAAGAGGCTGGCGCTGGCTGAGGCTCAGACACATGGCCAGGTCAACTGGTATTACAGCCGACTGGGGATGGCTTAAAGCCTGTAAAACTCTGTAGAAGAAGACAAGATGGGGTCAAAATGAGATTTACTGTTTACAAAGACATGGAATAAATTTAAATACATCATATATATGTAAATGTATCATCATGACCTGTGATTTTGCAGCTTTAATGTGATTACCACATGCAGAATTAAATGGAAACAGCTTCCTACCTTGCACAATTCATTTTCAGACCGTAGTAAATCCGCTGTCTTGGTTCAGGGACTCCCTCAAACACCCTATGGTCTTTAAAAAGAAAAGAAAACAGATTATAAACACATAAAACATGTCAGTAAATTAAACAACAGTCAATAAAAAAAGCCGTACACATGGCTAGAAACAGTGCTGCAGAACAGACACAGCTGCCTAAAATTCTAGGTGATGGCATTTTTTTTCATCTCAGTACAAAACATACTTACAGGTTATAAAGCACCATATGTTTCATCAAATCAATGACGGAGAAAACCAAAGAGAGGACCGTGGCTGCTGTCTGCCGCTGCTCTCTGGAGCTTATGTGCAGAGTTTGGGAATGAGGCAGTGCCTTCTGTGACAACGCATTTGCATGTGGGTGTAGTTGTAGCCAATGAAGTGAAGCTGCTCTGTTTATGTCCTGCCCCTAAAGAGATCTGTTGTGTGAAAGGTGTTGTGTTGAAGCTCTCCTTTTATGGAACTCTTCTGTGAATAAACTTTGAGTCACAATACAGGTTTTTTTTTTGTGTCATCTTCACCACAAGGAATGTATCCTTCTAAACTGTGTCTTGTCTTTGCAGTTTACATTTTATATCATTCAGGCAGTATCATTTGAGAGAAAAAGTAATGACATCATGCTTCGATGTATTTGAGGAAGAGAATAGAATTACTGTCTGTGGTGAAGTTTAAACAGTACGGTTGTATAGAGATGATGAAGATGCAGTGATTAAAATGACTTTTGCCAAAATTCCTATTCTTCATCAGTTTTTCACCTTAACTAACCTTTTAATTTGGTAAATAATGACACTGTAGGAAAAACAGCTATTGCATGTTAATTGCTAATAAATCTAGTGTCTTATCCTGCTTTTTGAGATTTGCACCTATTTGTATTCTTCAACAGAAGATCAATACTCCTTCAGTGTCTTGCTACTAAAGATGAAGTAGTAGTGATAATACATTCACATATTATGAACTGATTTTTGAGAAAACTTCAGAGTCAGTGGTTCTCAAACTACAGGGGGGACAGAGCAACTGTAAGGGGATGGGTGGTTGGCCAGAGAAAACATATGGAGTAAAAAAATGAGTTAAATGAATATGATTAATTTATGGGGAAAGAAAAGATAAGAGTTTGTGTTGTTTTTATTTCTTCAAAATTCAACTAACACCATGTTTTATTAGTTGCTTCCACCATGACTAATACAGGTAGGGAGATGCCTTTTTAAGCTCCTGAAGGAGAGTTTGAAAAGGTGAACCATAACTAAGTAGGGGCATGGATTTTCTGTTTGCAGATGGTGGCCATGTAAAGGTATTTACTCCTCATGAAGGACATTCTACTTGATTTCACGAGAGATGAATGAGAATGTGAGAAGTGAAGTTGATCAGGGTTACCGTAGTCTGACTCACTGGATGCGGGATACGAGTATAAACCTGCCGTTGTTTGCTTCTTCTCATCTTCTGCTCTGTGTGTTGCCTTTTTCAAAATCCCCATTACAAGGCCAACAACAACAACCACTGGGCTAGCAACCTGTCACATTGAAAATTTGAGGTTTTGCAGAGGATTTGGATCAAGCAGCCCCCTTTTTTGGGTGAATTACCATTTTCAATCACAAATTAATCACATATGTCTCACTTTGCTTCACCCAAGACAACTGCTGTTGGTTTTTAGGAAATACAAGCAAAGCTGTATGTTTTTCAACCCTATAGCAGAATGACATGGAGGTGCAGCTCAGACCAGTTTGTACTACAGAACGGTCTGGCTAAACGAAACTAGGCAATGTAATAAAGTGATAATGTGATATTTGTTAGGACAAACATCAAGGCATGTATTTGCCAACCTGCAAAATGAAAATCCTTGGTGCAGAAGGCTACAGGTTAGACTGTAAGACAAAGAGAAAATGCAGAAACAGTGCGCTTATGGAAACTACAAGTCCAGCTCTAGATATCCTCAAACTTTAGAGGTAGGTGTCGTATTCTGCACTTCTCCAAAGTCAAAAAGAGGAGAGATGCTGGATATGGGTTAAGCAGTGTGGAAGATACAACTGAATCTGGGAATAAGCAAAAAACATAAAAAACAAAACTTTATTTGTTCCAAAGTAAGATGCATGCCACAGCAAGATAGCCAGAGCCAAAGAGCCATGAGACTTAAAGAACAGGGAACTTGAAGCCACTGTCTAACCAAGACTGTGGCCACAACTGAGCAGAAAGTGAAGACCGAGAACAATATGGAAGCAGTGACTGGGTCAAAGCTAACCAAAGGATAGTCTTACATAGCCATACCCATGTATCTTTATAGCTCTGCAATAGTGCTGGAGCATGATTTGAAACTCATTATCGTTCCTCTATATGGTGAGAAAATGCGGTGGCTTTTTAAACATTTTTTATTGCTTTACAGCAGTGACAATGTTTTTGGGTGGTACTTCTCCCTGGATGTAGAGATGGTGCCCCTTTTAAATAATGACAGGGGAATAGCTTTGGGTGAAAAATGGCAAATTCACCAAAAGAAAAACAAAGCAAACAAACAAAACATTGCAAATCTTCAGCTAAACATTTTTGTCATGCAGGTTGTTAGCTCAAAGGTTATACCCAAACACCTACATCTAGCATGCCAGAGTGACCCAAAGCTAACCCTGAGAATTTGAGAGATTTCTACAGAAGAACTTGTGAACAAACGATCCCGCTAAAAGGATCTTAGAGAGAAGCCTGATATTTACTTTTCAAGATCAATGTTGTTCTGATGTGTGAGTTTATTTGGATTTAGCTAAATTATAAAAAAAAAATCGTTTTTATGATTTTTGTTTGGCGCATTGCTTCACTGTGCATTTGTGTTGGTCACATACTACATCACCTCCAAGAATGTGTTACGCAGTGAGAAATGTTACATAATAAATTACTAATGCTATCTGGGCTAACGATCGTTTTTCTGTTTATGGAAACGTTTGTAATTATAAGATTATGAAGATTATGAAGGACTTAATTAAGGATGGATGAAAAAAGGCCTGTCAAATGGAAATCTGTTGCATAAATAAGTTACTGACGTAATGAGAGCCCTGCTTCGAGCATGTGGTCAGTACGAACGATAAACGCCGAAGGGGCTTCTCTGCACTGAACGTACTGAGCTGTAGCTGACTACAAGAAGGTGGAGTGAGCCAAAACTGGAACCAGCCTAGTGGGAGATAAGTTGGTGAGAGCCAATTGCTGGCAGTTAGATGCAAAGTGAACAAATGGATGATTAAAGAGCGATTTTTTGACGTGAACAGAACGACAAGAACTGTGTCGATTATTTCCATCACTGAGCTACTTCAGACGCCACCCTGCACACCTGCTCTTCTAAAGCTCACTAAATCAAGTTTTACCTTGTTTGTTACCCTACACGATGCAGTTAATATGTTGTATAATACTCTTGTCTTAACCTGATTACTTTCCTAGAAGTCTTTTTTGTAGACCGACTGTCAAATCTGTTGGCCTAAATGACTTACATGCAAACAGGTTCGGGCCGAGACCAGTCTGGAGGTTAACCACAAAGATGGCCTAGAAGGCAGAACCAACACATGCCAATTTGTTTTATAACCGGATTAGTTAATCAGGTAAGATCTTAAGGTAACTGTCAAAGACCTGAAACAATAGCTGGCTTTACAGAAACGGGTTAATTAATTTTAAACAAATCAAATTTTATGAAGTTCCTGCTCAGCGGTGCAGAAAAAGTGGCCCACCCAGTTCTTGGCTCAAGCCATATTTTGGGTGTTTTATCCAAGTGGTTTGTGAGTGACATATTTGGCATCCATAGTTTAATGTTGTATAATATCTATTGTATAACCTCAACGTTTTCATTTAACCATGACCTCATTGCCTGGTTCTCCTTTGTATTCCTGTGCATACTATCTAGAATGTCATAAAAAGCAAAAACAAAAAAAACCTCACAAACAACAAAACTAAGCAAATATCTCCATTGGCGTGCAAACAAAATCAGTCTCTTGGTGTCTTGTATATACTTGAAGTTCAGCATATTTATTTTTTTATTGTAGACCAAGACGGCTGCAGAGACGTCGGCATGATGCACCACCGCTTTGGGTTTCCAAACGACAGGTGAGCGTTTCATGCAGACTTTCACAGGTGAGGTGAAGTCACTCAATGGGAGCAATGAGTAAGACTGAACACATACCTTTCACTGCAGTCAGTCTGTCTGGGAATCAGATAGGATCTTCTTTTTTTGTGTGTTTAGTCTCATTCACTTTCTTACTCACAGACGATCTGTATTAATTTCCTATTAAGGACATATTCTCAAAAATATTTTTAAAAAATCTATCAGGCTTCTATATAAGCATAAAAACTAAAGGATCCTCTGAGAGATAAATCAACCATGACAGGTGTCGGCTAACAAACCAGTACAAATAGTTGTGGATTACCACATAACCAAAAAGTGCCAAAACTTTATTGCCTTGGTGTCAGGTTGTTGACTGATTTGCGTTCATCATTAAATGATAATAAAGACACATGGTACAAAATGTTTTGTACAATGTTCCGTACTAGGTACTTTACAGGCTTGCTTTATGCGAGAACATAACTTTAGAGCATTGATCAAACGTGACCTAATCTACTTTGGCACCTTTATGCAAGGTCGTTATATAACTAACTGCCTGTTGTATATCAGAATGCTGTAATTGTTCAATTTCTTTAATCAGATTGTGCAATGTCAATCATCAGAACAATGTATGTTTTAGAGCACTACATATTTGAAAAATATGCTCTGCTGCCATTGAACAGTTCCCTCTCTGCTCCAACAAGCTGAACTTTAGTCCAATGACTTCTCAGTTCTTTTTCAATTAACTTCCCTCAACCCTTTCCCCCCCTTGAGTACATGAGGAATGAAAGCGAAGGACCCCTATGTGCAGGCAATAAAGAGACGCGGTAGGAACAGCTTGAGAAAATTCATGAAGTGCCTGCATTTGGAATTCAACGTATGTAGGAAAAATCTATTGTACATAGCATCAGAGTCTCACTGTGAACTCGATCTCCTTATGTTTAAATAATATCCTGTGTATTCACATGGCGGCTTTGTATCATATTAACCTATAACTCCTCCAGAGTCGTGTTACTTACGCCTCATGCAATAAATACTGACACTTGTTTTTCCACTCTTGACTCCTGACAAGTCACACCAATTAATTTCAATATAATTTTACATACAAATGATCTATACCCATCACACCGTTTCAGACTGTCCTGCCATTTCAGCCATAGGGGGCTTCAGATCTCTTGTACATTAATCATTCAGACAGTGTTCTCACAACATGAATACCATGAGTAAATCTATTCAATGGTGTACATCAGGTTCTGCGCAA